TTGGCTATGGTATCAATTTGGAATGTTCCATTTACTTACGTTGTGTGTTTTTTGGACTGTGGGAGGAAACCAGAGAACCTGGGGGAAACCCAGCACAGGGAGAATGTGCAAACTCCACACAGGAATTTTAACTGGTTTTTTAGGAACTTTAACCAAAGACATTCTTGCTGTGAGGCAACAGTGCTAATCACTGGTCCACTGTGTTGCCCATCTGGAAAGGATGGGGAGTAGGCTGGGTAGGCAGGGATTCTTCAAGACAAAGATATTGAAAACTCTGTTTATTTATAGTGAGTTAGGAATCATCTGATTGGAGAATTCATCATGAGCTGATGCGGGACCAGCTGAGAACAATAATAAGCATGTGATCCTCTCAAAATTAGTTTATAAAAAAACTTCACTCAGTGAGCTCGATTCACCTTCACTGAAAAAAATTATTCAAAGATTATTCCTTGGATTTACTCAATTTCTTTATGTTAAGAGGTGGTAAACAATTTATTTGGGCTGAATTTAAACAAACAAATTAAGTTGAACATTACTAAACTTAATTTGTTTGTTTAAATTCAACACAAACAAATTATTTGCAACAGTTCTGCATGCAACACTTTTTTCAGTGTTCCCGCCAGCACTATTTGCTGTTAAACTGTTGTTTATTTTTAATGATGATTATTTTTACAATTTTTAATTTAGAAATTTTAGTAAAAAATTATTTAAAAATATGTAATTATTTATTTTTAGAAAATGCAATAAGGATTTTTTTTGTTTGTGTACGGTATATATGCTGTCAGTTACAGTTCTTCAGAATATGATATTTTAAATTGAATATCATAGGTATATTACAGAAAATTGGAATCTCCAAAAAATCTGAGTAATGTGTAAACTGTTTTTGTAATAGACAATATTTTAGGTGTTATTTAATGAAGCGTCTAATCTATGTTGGGATAACTTCATTTTTGAAAAGTAATATGCATTGCTGACTATTTAATTTGAACTATTTTAATTTAGGTGATTTTCTCAATATTTAGATTTTTTGGAACCCTAAGACTAAAATATTAACAAATACTAACAAAGCATTCATCAATGGAAATCTTATTTATTCAGATTCAGATGATGCATAAATCTCAATTTCACAACATTTAACCCCGATGTTTTGTGGCCCATGGTCACGCTATACTGCAAGTTTTATGCCTCAAAGCTAACTCATCAGTTTAAATTATGAATAATTGTTTTTTATTTGTTTTAAAAAACAGGACTCGAAATTGTCTAATTCATGACATCACAATTTAACCGTAAAGACATTCATTCATGTATTTTTTTTTTCGGCTTAGCCCCTTTATTAATCTGGGGTGACGGAATGAACCACCAACTTATCCAACACATGTTTTACGCAGTGCATGCCCTTCCAGCTGCAATCCATCTCTGGAAAATATCCATACACACTTATTCACACTCATACACTATGGACAATTTAGCTTACCCAATTTACCTGTATCGCATGTCTTTAGACTGTGGGGGAAACCGGTGTGCCCCGAAGCAAACCCACGCAAATGCAGCGAGAACATGCAAAAATCCACACAGAAATGCCAACTGACCCAGCCGAGGCTTGAGCCAGTGACCTTCTTGGTGTGAGGCGACAGCACTACCTACTGTGCCACTGCGTCACCACCATAAAGACATAATATATATATTTAAGTACAGACCAGACTATTTTACACAAACTGTGCCACCAAAACCTGTGCAAATCCTTCTGAAAGAGCAAAATGTGAAATTCATTTTGATATGGCAAAGCGACTAAAAGAGAATGTTTTCAGCTATTGTCATTTCACATTTGAAGAGTTCTCAATTATGATTAGTAGGTCGATATCAGTTTTTTTTTACAAATAACAATTAAATTCACACTTAACACCGTTAAAGGGTTAGTTCATCTCCAAATTAAAATTCTGTCATCCTATACTTATATGTATTATTCCACTCTAAAGACATAAGGAATTAGTTCATCCTCAGAACACAAATGATGGCATTTTCAATCAAATCTGTACCCAAAACTCAAATGCTTCAACATTTTGATAAAGAGATTACAAACTACATTTATATGAGTTGAGCCGTCACATTACCATTTTTGTATGACAAATGGACTTGTTATTAGTTTCATTTATAAATATCAGGGAACATTATTTACAGCATTAAACTTGGCAGGAAGTTCACGCATGCTAGATGTGTAACAACCAATGAGGTTTATTTGTGCATGTCACATGGCAAATTTGAGCTTCTACAATAACCAATGAGGTTTGTCCAAAGGAATCAGGTGTTGTAGAGATTCTGTTTAAGTTCACTGATCAATGTGTCTATAATTAAATCTGTTTATGATATAAAGTGACTGTCTCTCAAAGATTTGGATTAAATCACTTCACTATGTGTATTTGCTTTAAATCTGATCTTTTACCTTAATTTGTGAGTCCTTTGTTAAGGGTTTCAGGTGATATAAGGGTAAGGAAATGACACAAATTTATTTTTTGGTCAAACAAATCCTGTAAAAATCCACCAGGTCACACATTTGCAATGTTTTGTTTAGTTGAATATCACCATATTGTGTAAATAAACATATATGTACAGTATACCATTTCAGTTTCCTAAAAAAAGAAGTCCTTTTTCCTTACGTCAACTTCTTAACTTTTCTGAAGTGAATATAAACATGGCAGCTTTTTTGTTACAATTCATTAATCAATGCCAAATCCAGAGAACTGATAACAACTTTGAAGTAGAATAAAAAAGAAGCATTATTTTGAAAATGTTGTCATCATTTACTTTCAGACTTGCTGGAGTTTTTTAATATGAATATTATCAGGCCTTGACATTAGCACCTGCCAAATGCGGGTAGATTTCTGCTGTGGCGAGTTAGACAGACAGTCCCACTAGCCACTTTGGCTATTTGAAGATTCATTCGCCACAGCGGAATGAACCGCCAACTTATCCAGCACTTGTTTCATGCAGCGGATGCCCTTCCAGCCGCAACCCATTTCTAGGAAACATCCATACACACTCATACACTACCTGTACTGCATGTCGGACTGTGGGGGAAACCGGAGCACCCGGAGGAAACCCACGCGAACACAGGGAGAACATGCAAACTCCACACACGAACGCCAACGACCCAGCCGAGGTTTGAACCAGCGACCTTCTTGCATTGAGGCGACAGCACTACCTACTGCGCCACTGTTTATTTTTTTATTGTAGTTTTCTTAAAAGCAGGATTCGACAATAATGATGGCCCAATATTCAAGCAAATGTGATCTTAGAATCGAGAAGCAACACAACTGACAAAAATAGCTGTGTTCGTGCAAGCAAAAGAAAGCAAGTGAATACCGAATGAGAGAATGATCACGGTCACGCAGAGGTGATGTGATGCGAGTGACTGTAAAAAAACGCACGCACTCCTGTTTACTTGCACGAAGCAACCATGCCTAGAGAAAACGCAACTGGTGCGAACGGTTCTCTTTGAAATAGACTGGACAAAAAGCAATCGTGCACCCACAGTCCTGCTGCTTTCAAGAGCTAGAGATTTATATGTCTATATCTTTTTTTAAGCAGCAGCCGTCACTGCTTTCATTTTAATTATTCTTTTAACAGATTAACAGGGCTAACGTTAACCGTGTGCGCGTGATCATCCTTTCATTATCCCTCACAGTATGTTTTTACCTGCTTTCTTTTTGCTTACGGTTATTTTTGTTAAAAGGTTTAAATTGTCTTCTTTTTTTTAAAATAACATTGTTTTAATATGAGATTAACTCCCTGTTTTTGTGTAGTTAACTGGTGATCTGGGACCATTAGCCATGACAGATTACTGTGCATTTTTTAGATATACATGACAATAGTTCTTTTTTAAATGTCTTTTTTTAAAGAAATGTTTAGTTGAATTAAAAGCGCATGTTTACAGCTAGGCGAGGCAGTGGCGCAGTAGGTAGTGCTGGGTCGCTGGTTCGAACCTCGGCTCAGTTGACGTTTCTTTGTGAAGTTTGCATGTTCTCCCTGCCTTCGCGAGGGTTTCCTCCGGGTGCTCCGGTTTCCCCCACAGTCCAAAGACATGCGGTACAGGTGAATTGGGTAGGCTAAATTGTCTGTATTGTATGATTGTGTATGTGAATGTGTGTGTGGATGTTTCCCAGGGATGAGTTGCAGCTGGAAGGGCATCCACTGCGTAAAAACTTGCTAGATAAGTTGGCAATTCATTCCGCTGTGGCGACCCCGAATTAATAAAGGGACTAAGCCGACAAGAAAATGAATGAATGAATGTATACAGCTATATTTAGCTTGTTTTGACACATTTAAAATTTGTGGCCAAATAATACATTTTTGGTGTGATCAGAGATAGCTAAATTTGATAAATACTTAATTTCGAGCTCTGAAAAGTCATGTGAAATAAAAACTAATCGCAATGTGACACGGCTCATTAGCCCATGCATACTGAGCAAGCTCATACACAACACACACAGTAATTTTATCATGTCAAAGTCTAATTTATGCATATAAAATATATTTTCCCAATAACAAAAGTATGGCTAGTGAAAATGGCGAGTGGCTAGTAATGTTGGGAAATCTACTAGCCACAGTGGCTGGTGATCAAAAAGGCCAATGTTAAGCCCTGAATAATATGAATATAGCTGGAAAACTAAAACAATTGGCTTACATGGTATTTGGTTTTCCTACTATGGAAGTCAATATTTACAAGTTTTTCAGCTTTCTTCAAAATATATTATTTTCTGTTCAACAGAAGAAAGAAACTCAGGTTTTGAACCACTTGAGGGTGCCTAAATAGTGGGTAGATTTCATTTTGGGGTGAACTATCCCTTTAAACTATTTGGGTGAAAGAAACTTTGCTAACTTCATAAGCTAACCTTGTAAATCAAAGCACAAACATGTGAAAGTGAGCTCATCTCTCAACAAATCCCAGATTTCTAATACACACATTACTCCCAAAACACATGCACGTCAAACACCAAACCCACCTGCTGGAGGAGCCGGGTGAACCGTAGGACACAGAAACGCCTGAAAGCTGGACGCGCAGAGTTCACTCACCGTCCCCATCGCTAAACAATCCCTGATTCACTTTAAAGCCTACAGTTCGAATGTGAGAAGTAAGTCCCTTTAAGCACCAAGAGAGAAAAGACCAGCTACTTCCTCTTCAGTCCGAAAGCAGAACTTGTTCAACTGTTTATACTCTCGCCTCAATCATTCATTTCAATAGTATCCAACAGTAAATCCAGAGCAAAAGAGCTCGGATGCACAGCACTGCTCTCTTCACCGATGAGCGCCGCTCTCACAATCTCTCTGACTTCACTCCTTGTATTCTCTCTCCTCCCTCCCTCTCTCTCCTCTCTCACTCTCTTTCTCTCTACGTTCGGTTTAATACAAACTTGCATTATTGGCAGGACAAATGTTACATATGTATTGCCAAAGCATTTGTGTTTACAATAAATAGAACATATGAACACAAATGACATAGTAGTAGTGATATAAATATCTACAATATGTGTATATATATATAACAGTAGTATATTTAGCAATCAAGATTTTGGGACAAAACAATAATTCATTCTTTAATTTTCCTTCGGCTTAGTCCCTTTATTCATTAGGGATTGACACAGTGGAAAGAATCACCAACTTACCCAGCATGTTTTACACAGCGCATGCACTTGCAGCTGCAACCTGGGAAACATCCATACACAGTAATTCAAACAGACAATTTAGTTTATTCAATTCACCTATAGCACATGTCTTTGGACTGTGGGGGAAACAAGGGCATCATAGAAGCAATTGAAAAAATATAGCCTATCATTTGCGCGATGTGTTAATACCACAGTACTCTTTTTCATTTTACCCTTTAGCAGTCACAAGACTGAAACCTCGAGTTTAAGGCAGCACTCATGTCTCATCACAAAGGGGCAACCAAAACTGACACATAGGCCCAATTTTAATTCTACCCCTTAGCCCTTACCACTTTTTTTGCATGTTAACGTGAAGGGGTTGGGGTTTCCCAGTTCTCTTTAGCTTGAAGGCATAGGGCTAAGGGGAAGGGGTAGATACCTCACGAAAGGGAGATTTTACAGGACCACACTCGAAATCAAGGGGAAAATTTTTTTCCCAGAATACACCAGCAACATGGCTGCACATTTTTTGTCATTGCTACAAATTTTTACGACAAACAAGCACATGTTTTAATACATTCATAACCGTGTTCATGTTTTACCGTCATGCTTTAAAAAAAAAATATATATATATATATATATATATATAAATAAAATAAAAAAACGGCAAATTTCGCTATCTTTAATCCATAATAATAACTCCAATATTAACTCCTGTACAGCAGTCCCACAACATTCTGTCACTCGATGACACTCAAATACCCTGTCAGAAAAGTCTAGTGGATGGGAATGAGCTTTTCACAGTGTCTGCTATAATGATAATGTTGTTTTCATCTGTTAAGACGAATATGGCCACTGTAATGCGCAATACAGTTGCGATCTTATTGCCACATTATAGCGTTATAATAACATATCATTGCCTTCAGTGGTTTCCTAAAGATAAATACCAATAAGTAACACAACTGGAATAACTACAGCAGTTGCCAGCGTCAATCTCATATGAAGCAAGAGATCACAGTGACAATGCTGTTTCATTTCTTAGGGGTAAATTTTGAAGCCCTTCACACTCTGTTTCAAGGGCCAAGAGGAAGGGGTACGAGTACTACAATCCTTGCACAACCTACAGTTTTGTCTGTTCTCTCTCTCTCTCTCTCTCTCTATTACCCAATTTAAATGTGGGAATTTGGAAACCAGATCTAAATTTAGCGGGAATGGTCGGGTAGAAAATTATTCGGTCCCAAATTCATTTTTGCTAATATAAAGCCTGTGGACTTACATGGTAACTAGATGTGTATCTAGTATGTAATGACAGTGTATATACACACTGTTACATAGTATTACTTATAAATCCACTCATGATAAAGTGTAAAATGGTCACAAATTACTGTTTAATATATAAAACCCAAGCCTTTGTGCAACTAATAAACAACAGCAAACTTCTGCCAAAAATGTATAAGTGTATAGAGAAATATGCAAATGCCTTATATCAGGGGTGCTCAATCCTGTTCCTGGAGAACTACCTTCCTGCAGATTTCAGTTGCTTCCCATATCAAACATCTGCCTGTAATTATCAAGTGGTGTTCAGGTCCTAATTAATTGGTTCAGGTGTGTTTGATATGGGTAGCAACTGAAATCTGCAGGAAGGTAGATCTCCAGGAACAGGATTGAGCACCCCTGCCTTTTATGTTGTTTTAATGTGAATTGTAGAATCACATCAGTATTAAAAGGGTAGTTTACCAAAGACTGTGTTATTAATGATCTGTTACACATTTGAACTTATTCAGTGTGTTGTTACATGTGTTTAAACCAGTAATACACAAGTAAATACTATGTACCAATGTGTACATACACTGTAATTACATACTACTTACACATCTAGCTACCGAGTAAGTTCACAGGTATAAGCAACACTATATAAAGTGGAACCAATTATTCTAAGTGAACAAAGACTAAATATACAGCAGGAGGGGTTGGGTGGCGAATAAAACCTCACAAGAGCGAGTTTCTAAAACAAGTCCTGTGCAGACCTCTACACATATTTTGCAGCCAGCTTAGATTGGTCATTTTGTTCAATGTATATAGTAAAGTTTTTTCTGAGTTGTCTAAATTAAAGTATTAAAGCAAGAATTATTTCAGGGTTAAAAATTAAGGGGAATGTTTGTCTTGTTGTGGTGTATGTGGGGCAGAAAAGAAGGAAGTGTGTCTCATAAGGATTTTCTTTCTTTCTCTTTCTCTCTCAAATTCAAACTCAAAACTTGCTTTATTGGCATGAGAAATGTTACAAATGTATTGACAAAGCTTTTATAAGGTTATAAATATACAATATTTTATATATATATATATATATATATATATATATATATATATATATATATATATATATATATATATATATATATATATATATAAACAAAGTAAACAATATTTTTTTATTTTATAATTTATCAATAAATAATAATCAGTATATTTACAATAATTTATTTATAACCATCTAGGTGTGTGTGTGTGTGTGTGTGTGTGTGTGTGTGTGTGTGTGTGTGTGTGTGTGTGTGTGTGTGTGTGTGCGCGCGTGCTCTCTCTCTCTCTTTCTCTCTGTGTTTGTGTCTGTCTCTTTGTATTCACCACCATATGGCTTCTGTGTTTCTCTAAATCTGGTGCTGAAATAGTTTTAGTAAAGCCTGATTTAAATGGACATACATAGGCACAAGCTCATCAACACCTCCCAAAAACACCTCCCCACTCACTCCCTTCCTCCCTCTCTCTCTCCCTCCCACAAGCACAGAGGGCAGTTTAGTCAGAGCAGCGCAAGCATCCTGGGCATCTGAGCCATGCGTGGTTTTGAAGGGCATGTATATGTTTACTCATGGAGAAGCGGAAGATCAGGCAGCCCATCTATAAATGTGCGCCTGCAGACACGTGTACATTGTTGAGACCCTCTGAAACCTACATGCATTTTAAATCACTGTTTTTGTTTGTGTGTTTGTGTGTTTTTTATACCAGTAATTGCCTTCCTGTAGAATCAAGAGCACTTTAATGCAATCATCATGTTGGTAATGATCTATCTGTGTCCGCATTGTATGTTATATATGTGTGCTATAGGAATAGGAGAAAATTATGTATAATTGCGCACAACAACCTGAAATCTAGGACTAAGTGGGTCAAAGATGAAACCCATTTTGCGGTCTGCATTAAATTAAATTTAGTAAATTCATTTTATATTATTAGAAATATAAAATGCAAGTAAAATGTCTGCTTTTAATGTTTCACATAACGTTTGTGGGGGGGTGAAATACATATTGGTGTTATAATTTGACACTCAGTGGTTGAACTAGGTATTGCACTACTGGATCAAAACACAAGCAAGCCCAGGTTGTCAAATTGACGTGAGTATACCTGTCAGGGTTGGTGAGGGGAAATGGGGAAAAAGGAGCGAGGACTCAAGTGCAGGAAAATGGGGAATTTATTAAATAATAAACATAAAATAAAATGCAAAATAAACTACCCCGAGGGGGAAAACCTTAACAAAACAAATACATACACAAACAAACTTCACTGGGCTGGCTGGTAAGGAACAAGACTGGAAACACGACAGGACAAGGGTTCAAACAACAACATGTGATGACGAACTGGCGCAGGACAGCAAATGTGAGGGGTATATAAACTGTAGAAAATTAACACACAAACAGGTGAACACAATTAACTAATAATGGGTTAACAAGGAGGGTGGGACAAGACAATAGACGGGAGAGCGCATGACACAGAGAGACAACACAAGCCATGCGCTCACTTAACAGGACAAGAACATGCAGCCAATGAGAGAACTCATTAACCACATGTTCATGACAACAAACACAACACTGAAGCACACGACAAAAGCACGTGACCACAATGTAAACACCGAGCCACGTGCTTTGACAAGAGACGCAAGACACGAGCACACGATAGATAAACACCTTACCGTGCGCTCACACATAAGCAACGCGCATGCTTCATCTCAGCGCCAACCAAAACTGAAACCAACTAGACGGAGGCGCCGAGAATAAAGCAGCGCGCCGCTGACAGAACAAACACTAGTACAAGAGTGCGCGCGTCTGAGGGACGCAGAGCGTGCGCGGCCACATCAAGCGGCAGAGCGCACACTCTGCGTACACCCACGACGGCGCGAGCGCACACAGAGACAGAAACAGGACCAGACATGAGTAGTGTCAGATCTCTGCCACCAAAACAAGAATTTACAAGACCAAAGTGGCAGAACCCTGACAATACCTGAATATTGAGCCTAAAGGCTGATTTGAACTGTTTTCTAACTGAAAGCAACAGCATGCAATAAAAGAATTTTTTTTTATACTAAAAGCAGTTTTTGTCATAACCAACAACTGAAATTTATATTTTGAGAATAAATATCATTTTACCCTTTAGCAGTCACAAGACTGGAACCTCAGGTTTAAGGCAGCACTCATGTCTCATCACAAAGGGGCAACCAAAACTGACATATAGGCCCAATTTTAATTCTACCCCTTAGCCCTTACCACTTTTTTTGCATGTTAACGTAAAGGGGTTGGGGTTTCCCAGTTCAAATATCTTGAAAATAAAATAAACCATGTGAAATTGAAAATTAGAACTGTAACTTAG